CCCCACACACACACACACACCCGGCGATAATTTCAGTACTGGTCAACATGAACCCAAACAAGAACAGATCAAGCAATATATGGGTCTCGTGTATTGTGTATTGGGTTTCAGAGCGGGAGGCAGGGAGGAATTGTTCACCTTGTCCCTTCTCTCCTATTTTCATTCTCTTTCCCCCAGAGCCAATTTTTTTTTTTTCCGCCGAGAGTCAGCTTGTTCGGCGACACAAAACATCACACCCCGACACAACATAGATCCACTCCCATTCCCGGAAAAAAAAATCGCGAAGCTCAAGCTTTATGTGGTGCAGGTGGGTGCTGCTGCTGATCTGAGAGCAGCATTCAATGCGGCATCTGGAGTACCTCCCTCTGGGTTGGGTTCGTGAGAAACAGCAGTATCATACGCAACATGAAAATAAAATGCAGCCAGAAGGACAAAACCCACAGCTCGCTGCCGGCTGCTGCGGTGTGCCGGTTCCCAAGCTCACACAGTTGGCATGCTTGTGGATCGAACAGCCTATGGAGTCTCAATGAACCAGAAAGGACAATTTGCAAAATGTGTCCACTGAAATTTGCAAAATGTGTATAGTAAACTCTACATATTCCGCTGCATTTAGTGTATTATATCAAACCATGAATCCCAATAGTAAGAAATGAATACGGAAATGTGTCTCCACAATAAATCCTTTACAACGTGCCCCTCTCATGGCTTTGGGCGACTATTGTATTACAAGCTGTTGGTCACAACAAACACAGCAACAAGCTAGCCTCTCACCTCTTTCCGTCCCTCGACGCGAACAGTCCGCGGTCGGGAGCAACTTGCTGCACCCTCGAGAGAAGCTTGAGGGCCGACATCACCAGCGTGCCCTGAGACCCAGACACCTGAGATACCCTCCGCGCGCCCACAGGGCAAGAACAAAAAAAACAAAAAAATGGTGTCTGTCTTTATCGATGGCTTGCCTGCATCGAGAAGACACGCTTAGAGGATGGGTATACGTAAAGTCGGCGAAAAACCCAACAAACTAAACGCGTATACTGGTCTCTGATGACTTGATTCGGCGGCAAACTGACCGTTTCAACTGTCTGCGACCGGGCTTGGATGGCTTTTGACATTGCGTCCCCACAACAGAGAAAAAAAGAAAATATATATATTGCAAGTAAAGCACATCCATCCACCACCCTAAATTTCGGCTGCTAACTGATTCTTCCAATGGTTTGAACCTGGAGCCGAATGCTTGAATGCGGCTGCTGCGTAACTTAATGGTCTAAATTATGAACCGATCACCCTGCTAATGAACTAACTCGCTGGACAAATTTTACAATTGTCTGAGCCTGTTCTCTTGTGGCTTGTTTCCGGCTACTATTACAGATTACAGGTCTTGCTTGTCTGGGCCGTAATGAATGTCTTGATGTCGGCGGCTATCTGACTGGTGAAAAATAACTTTTTGCTGGGCCTGGTTGCTTGTGGCATGATTTCTGCTGCTGAACACACATGCGTAGAAAATATGCAGCGTAATCACCGTCAATCCTGCTACAGTATCCGGGAAGCGCGCCGCGATACGAAACATCCCACAGCAGTCGGTCTCCAATATGGACGCAAGCATAAGATACAAGACACACCTGGTGAGAAACGCCATCCACGGATATGGAGACCTCCGAGTGCTTCGCCTTAGGGTCTGGCTGAAGCAGAACCATTGAAGTCTGGAAGACAAAAATAGAAAACATGAAAAACGAAAGACGACACATACTTCGAAGTGCATACTAACAAGGAAAGAAAAAAAAACATCTCAAGGTGAAGAATGAAAAACGTCTGGACGCCGAAATAAAACGAGGGAATGAAAAGCAAATGAAGAACAAAGGTTGTTGTTGTCGTTGTCGTTGTCTTCAAAGTTAACAGCCCATCCCAACTCGGCCGATGCTAGACTTTTCATCCACAAGGTTTGCTCAGGTAGAACATTTCGTGGGGGGGGTGTGACCAACCCGACTGATACATAAGAGCAGGTCCCACGTCGATAAGGCGGGTTACTGGTGCTCTTCGGGGTTGGAACACAAAAGAAGGAGAGCAGTTACCACGGGGTTAGGCAGGTGACAGGTGGTCCTCCGGGTAGGCATCCAAAAACTTGAGGACACCAACTTCTCCCATTCCATGATGCTCCGCAGAAATGAACGCTATGGGGGCGCCTTTTCCTCCGCTAGTAGGTTCTTCACGAACATTGAAGCAAGATGACCCGTCCGGGTTGACACACACACATACACATACACATACACATACAAACACAATTTGCTGTCTAGGAAGGGCACCGGATCCTTGAGGACACGAGCGATCATGACGCTGCTGTCAATGAGGGCGTTGAGGAGAAGAATTCTTCCAACTTGCTCATGGGCTCTACACGAGCCTTGAAGCAGAGTACTCTGCCGCCTTGGCGCACGCACACATACACGTTGCCCTTTCGGAAGCGCACCGGCTCCTTGAGGGCAAAGAGCCACCATGTCACTGATGCCAATCAAGTCATTGAGGCAAACACCGATTCCAAGTTGCTCATGGCCCTTGAGCGAAAACTATCTTGCGGGTAAGCACACGGGCAAACACACCTTGCTCTTGCGGAAAGGCACCGGCCCCTCGAGGAGAAGAGCGACCTATCACTGTCAATATGGGCATGCTGGTCTTTGGGCTCTACTCGGACACTGAAGCCGAAACTATCTTCCGGGTTGGCACACACGCATACACACCTTGCTCTTGCGGAAGGGCACCGGCGACTTGAGGGGCAGAGCGATCAGGTCACTGCCTGCGGGGTCATCGGGGTCCAGAACCTTCCCCCAGTTAAAGCCCTCCGGTCGTGGTAAACTGATTGGCCGAACAGCAGCAAACATGCGCATCGCGGTCATCTGATTGGTCGACCAGCCAGACATGGCAAAGGTTTGCATACACCATGTCTTTATATCGTTCCTGTAGACAAATTACAGGAAGCAAGCGTTCCAAACTACGTCTCGGTGGAACTTGAGCGAATTATTCGTAAGGTATCAACCAACCAAAGCACGTGAGCTATCGCCGTTGATTTGGAAGTCCATTGGAGAGAATAGTCTCCACATCAGAGCCTTCCCCCGGTTAACGCCCTTTGATCGCGGTAGTCTGATTGGTCAAACAGCCACAGAAATGACGATAGTATTCATTGGCGTGTCGGCGCGTAGGGTTATCAACAAACGAACAGGGTTGCGGGAGCACCCTTGGTATTGAGAGTGACTCGAATATGTAAGATTCGTTTGAGGGCTAACCCCCAAACCCGAGCCTTGCTACAGTTCAAGCCCTCTGGTGGCGGTAACCTTATTGGTCGAATGGTCGAACAGCCACAGACACAGGCACAAATTTGATTGGTCCGTCGAGTGGTGTGGAAGTGAACAACCGGACAGACTTACTATGAGACCAACCCATTCATTGGAGCTATTTATTGTTGCTTTCACGCCTTGGCTCTCCTGGCACCGGCCGTTCGGGTAAAAAACGGAGTCCCTTCCAGGAAACGCTGAATCAATCGCACCCCACACAAGACCACACCCTCCGGTGACAAACACTTGTTGCCGTATGATCAAACCACTAAATATCACCGGGGACTTCGATGACCTCTCCTTACGGATCTGAGAGTAGACAGCACCATCGAATCTCGCATGCATGATATGTTGGCACGAGTCCCGAAACCAGCACCCGTGGTGGCGCAGCTTCACCTGCAGTCATCCCTCGGTTAAGGAACACACAGGGTGTTTCGCCAAAATGGGTGTACGTAAGCCGGGAAAGTTTCCTCAAGGTTGATGCTCATCTTTATGGTGTACTTCCATTCTGAGAGCCACCATTTATTACTTCTTTATCGCCATCCTTGTGGTGTACTTATATTTTGAGAGCCGCCACCACGCCTGTGAAAAACAAATTTTCCTTAACCGGGGGAGTGTCCTTAAAAATGGTGTGCTTAATTGACCGAGGGACGACTGGTATACCTGATGATGTGCCGCACGTTTTGCCAAGAGACGAACACGTCCCCCGCCTTTCCCGCGATGGTGACGCCGCCCTTGCGGAGAACCAGATCGAAGCGGCCCCGTGGCTGCAAGAGCTGGACGTTCTCCAGGGTGAGGAGGGGGGGGGAAGAAGGGGCACCGCCATTGCTGTCGGTAGTAGTGGTGGTGGTGCCGGTGACGTCGGATTTTGTGTTGCCGTCTGCGGGGACCCCGTTGGCAGGCGTTGTCGCCGTCGCCGCCGCTGGGAATGAAAGAAAGAGTGAAGTAGACTGGGTCAATGGACGCGTTATGGTGTTGACGATTGTTGTTGTTGTGCGTGAGATGCCTCCGGCAAAAAAGCGAGAGCGAAGCTGTTAGATGTGCATCTGAGGAGCAGACTGGAGACGTGTTTTGGGTGGTGATTGGTTTTTCGGTGATGCCTCTGCCAAAAAGCAAAAGCCTCTGGCAAAAAACGAACGTGAAGCTGTTCGATGTGAATTTGAGAAGCAGATAGGGGACGTGTTTTGGGTGGTGATTGGTGTTTGGCCATGCCTCTGGCAAAAGGGTGCTGTTAGATGTGCATCTGAGGAGCAGATTGGGTAAAGACGTGTTTTGGTGGTGACGATTGTTGTTGTTTGCGTGAGATAGATGCCTCTGGCGAAAAACACGAGAGCGAAGCAGATCCAGTGCCGTGCTTTCGTAGAGATTTAATAGTATTTGGGTGGTGGATTTGGGCTGGCATGCAGCACGAGCAGTGAGAGCTAGCTTTGTTGAACCAAGAGACAACGAAAACATGATGTGCTACGCATGCTGCTGGTCAACAGCAGTTTCAAGAGACAGAGTGGTCACCAAAGGGGCTGCGGGGCCCTACACTGTTATTGCATTCTACGTCTACCCACATGGAAGAAACGACTGTTATTGCTGCATGCTCGCATGCTACCCGGTCTTGTATGTACTCGCGAACGTAGAGATGGCATGCAGAACAGCAATCAATGACTGCTGTGTTGTTACAAGGGTCATGCTGGATAGACCCCAGCGCTTCTCAATGCCTCTGCGTGACAACACGATGCATGTACGGTAAAGTGCGTGAGGTAGATAGATGTATAGCATGCCCACACTACCCACACTGGTGGCCAGAGGGGTAACTACAACCTGAGGGGGTGAGGTTGGGAGGCCGAGTTCGACCTTGACTCCTTTTTTCTTTAGATTGCAGCCCGCCGTCTTGGTTGGAATACCTCCACCACATGCGGGATAACTGTGTGGGCTGCAACCTCCCCCCCCAAAGGTTTTCGTCGGTGGCCCAACCTACCCACCACAAACTGCCTCTGTCCACCAGTGCATTATGCTACAAGTCAGCCCTGCATTTTTATTTTTCGGTTGTACGTCGGGAGACGCGCAGGATATCCATTGCTATGATGTAAGTCAGTGCCGATATACCTCGTAGCCAAGTGGAGATGGAATGGTACATGTAAAATACTGGGGCCTCAGAGAACTGACGCTATTCAAAGTGCAGAGCGACTTTGAGTGATTCAGTCCGTGCCCAGCAATTTCACCGGCGCTATACAGGGTCACCGGCGTTATTCAACCAAGGCGCTGTTGAGGACCCACCACAGAACAGGCCCACACTGCTGTTGTGAAGAGCTTTGGATCTAGTTGCAAGAACGTGAGCCTCAAAATTTCGAAAAAAGAGAACTTTACCATCATAAGAACAGGTGCGGTGGTCAAGAAGCCTACGCCGTGGGAATGCAGTTCAGTACTGGGCCCGCTATAGTGCCGGTATGTGCCCAGAGATGGTATCGGCACTATTTAGGGCACCGGCACTAATCAGAATAGTGCCTCAATAGTGCCGATTCGGCACTATTGAGAAGATGTTTGATTTCATGCTGTGGCGCTCATCATGCGTTGCGGGGCGAACAGAGTACGAAATGGATCAAACTTTGTGAAGGTCTATGGTGGGCGTAGGCATCCTTTCTCGCGACAAGTATGGTTCCCCCGTGTCGCACACACAGAGGGCGAGTTGTAAAAAATATTTACTTGCATGTTGCACCGATATTTTCTGCCTGCCTCGGCACATGAACTGTACTGCACACCCTGAACTATCGAAACTGCTGTTGACGGCAAGATGCTTGTGAATCTCCCGTTCGTACAGAGTGGACGTAGCTATATCTCAGCCCTAGAGCCCCTCCTTCGATGTTGCAAGATACAAAAGACAAAACAGAAAAAGAAACACGACAGGAAGCGCACTGCAAGAAAACAAAAATCAATACTACTGCACTACAGTTGTATCTCCCCCCCAAACTACGTCGCGACACTGGAGTGTCTGCCTGGCGTACCCGCTTCGACGTTGCAAGAAAAAAAAAATGAAAACTACAAGTACATGACAGGAAGCGAACCGCAAGAAAAAGAAACAACCATGAACTCTACGTCGCGACAAATCCTCTAATGTCTGTCTGGCGCACCCGCCTAGCGGAATGCGCTGCGATCATCGACAACTTCGCTTTCGTTAGGTAGAACGCCGCGTCTCCGTTGCCACTGTCCTCTGCTGCCACTTCCAGGGCGCCGAAGTGAGACGACAGTTCTTCATAACCCGGTGGCGCACGTGGGGCACGGCGCTCGCGCCCCGTGTTCTCACCGCCGCCGCCCTGGTCCTGTTCGTCCTCCTCGTCGTCGCCGCCGGTAGACAAGTTCGTTCCAGCCAGCAGTGCTGTCATGTCTTCCACCGCGTCCAATCGTAGAGCCTCTACGACCTCCTCGTCGTCCTCGATGGTAGCCCACCCCTGAATCGCGGCCACCGCTTCCCCCGCGACCGGCTTTCCGGGTTCGATGTTGAGTTCTGCCAACAGTTCGCTGATCTCCTCGTCCACGACGCAGGACCCCTGCTTCTGCGCGTCCTGCACGCTCGTGCTCAACGTGCTGACAGTCTCTGCGAGAGCCTTCAGGTCAGGCTCAGCGACGTTGAACCGGGTCTTTCCGTGTTGCTTGGTGAGCTCAGCCGCCATCTCCTCCGGGAGCGTCTCGGCTTTGACAAAGCACCTGGCCAGGTAGCGCAGAAATTGTGATGCATCCGTGTTTGGGTGGAGAAGCGATGTTAGACGAACCCAGTGACAAACCATGACTCACAGGGATGCGAGAGAGGGCCTTTTTTTAGCAAAGAAACAAGGAGATTTGCGGTTGCGGGAATATTCAGTCGAAAAATGAAATCTATCCGTACAACCTTACCCACGTAACGTGCCACCAAAGCCATGCGCACTTGCGCGAGCTACACATTTACAACAGCGATATCACATGTTCAAAACTCACCTGGCGATGTCTTGGGCGGTGACGCTGGCCCATGCTTTCTGGAGAAGTTCAGGGGCGTCCCGCACTTGAGGTTGGTGCCCTTGCGCTAGCCCCATTGTCCCGGCCTTCATCTTGCGGGCGTTGGCCTGGGCGCGAAGTGTGTCAGCCACCAACATGTCATGGTTGATGTCTTAACATCGAGCAGCGCCTTCCTGTAGTTGACCTTCGTCTTGGCGATGACCCCCAAATCCATGCGTTGGTGTACGGCGGTGCACAGCGGAGGGTAGGTCTTGACGGTAACTTGCCCGCGATTATCCACTAGATCACTGTGAGACGCACAGTTCACCTTCCGCACAAGGCATAGTGCGCCTCTGCGTAGAACTCTTCGGGTCTGCAGCAGCACGTGTACCCTCCGTGTTGCGTGTGTCCGCTGTCTTGTGTGTGTGTGAAAAAACGTCAGTCTTAGTGCGGTTGAAAACACAAAACACTTCTTTCTACCATGAACTGGGACCCCGTGAGGGGGCAGCATGGGGGAGGCTAAACTATCCTTCGGATCAAAAACAGAAACAGCAGCAACAGAAGAAAACTGCACCCGTCTACCAAGGCTATTACCTAGTACTCGAGTTCGTTTAGGAGTACTTTCACCAGTGTCCTCCTTGTTTTCGCTACCATCATTCTGATCCTCATTTCGACAAGAAGAATCTCTGGGCAGTTCTTCCCTAGCCCTACGTTTCTTGTTGTGGGGAAGGTCATCTGGCTCAAACCCTTTGCTCTCTTCCACTCCTCCATGCCTTCCTGCTCCATCGTCGTCTTCGTCCTCCTTTCTTCCCTGTCCCTTTCCTTCATCTTCGTCACTTCCAAAAGATTACCCTCACTACTATCGTTGTCGCAGAGATCCCAACCGATTGGCCCTGGTGGAAGTTGGTCGATCAGTAGCCCATGACGTTTGAACACATCGCGAGTTCGCATCGACAGAAAACGAGCTAGCTCGAAGGTAAACCGTGGTGCCCAATCGGCACTATAGAGGGGCCGCCCTCAAGGGCACTTTCTGTGTCCAGAGATTTTACCGGCACTATACCGGGCATCGGCACTATTCAATCGGCACTGTACCCATGTTTGTACCGCAGTAGATAGAATAACAAACGAGCCTCGGCGAGAATGCGGGTCCTAACCGCGTGTACAACTTTAGCGGTGCTCTACAGAGCAAGGCGCTCGCGGTGACAACACCACACCAACCTGCTGCGGAATACAAGCTGCGTTGGTTTTGTGTAACCTCGAGCGCGAGGCGACACTCTGTTGTACGTCGTCAGTCGTAACTCTCATGTACAGCACGTATGTTTACATGGGTACAGCAGTCTACACACGACAAAACTGATGTCCCGAGAGGATGGTGTCCTCCGTCACACGGGCAAGCTCCAAAAAAGTTCCGCCGGAGACGCCCTTCTCAACCCCAGACTGCAGCTGTAGGCGCCCTTGACCGGAGCCGGACCTCACGACAGAAGTAGTACCCTACCAGTTCCACGCCCTTGTGGCTACAGTACCAGCAGTCACACCTTGCCTCTCGAGGATATTGTCTGTTGTCACGCAGGTCTTGAGGATCGATAGGATGGTATCTTCCGTCATACCAACACAACCCCAAAATTTGAAATTCAAAGCACCCGCGTGGACACACGATTCTTGTAGCCGCACCGGGCCTCACAAGATCTACATACAGCAGCAGTCCCATGCCCTTGTTGCTACAGTGCCACACCAATCATACCTTGCGTCTTCTCGAGCATAGTCACGCAGCTCTTGAGGATCGACAGGGCGGCGTCGGTGCTTGAACCAGCCGACAACAGCACGAGGTCGGAGAGCTTCGCCGCGTCGCCGCCCGCTACGGCCGATTTCCACTCGTCCATATTTTTTCCTTTTGGCCGGGCTTCTATAGTAGCTGCACTGCTGTCGGCATATGTGGGGCAACGGTATCAAAATACTGCTGATGCACACTTTGGGTGCAAATTTGTTCGACAACATGGTTGAGTGATATGGCCGAGGGGGCACGCGAAGTGGATGAAAATTCAAAATCTTTTCGCCTCATACCCCTCCTACCGCCTCCGCCCGTCGCGCAGAGCACACACTGCTGCGGCACAGCCGTGCTGGACTTGAGTATCCCTTTTATCTTTATCTGCGGCGAGCGCGTGGTTGCGCCTGCCGCTTCTCTCGTGCGGGGCCGTGGGTGTCGAGGTTTTTGCCTTCCCGTTATGGAGTGATCGTTTTGATCGACAGCAGAAATAGAGTTAGTGTGTTGTCTTCTTTCCAACTGACAACGGGTGCGCTGGGCTGGGGAAAGTGTTCGACAGGGTAGGCGCTCGCTGTCGCTGCAGGCAAGGGAGCCGCATAGCCGGGGACGGAGAACTGGCCTGAGGGATGGCTCGCTCCGATGAGGTGAGCGACAGTTGGCTCCTGCTGCCTGTGTGTGTAGGAGCGACGGCGTTGGTTGACTTTGCAGAGGTTTGTGTCCAGCAGCATCATCGCATTTTGAAAAATCACGCGTTTGTCGGAGGCCAGTTGCCCGTTTGTGTGTTTGCTGCATGGCGGGTGAGCTGTCCTCGTCAGCCTGCATCCACAGCAAAGGGAGCAACAGAGCAAAAGCACGAGGTACACGTGCGTGCAGTGTGTTGGTACATCAACGACTCCTGTTTTGCACAGCACAGCAGTGTGCAACAATATGCGCCATCAACGTTGATGGCTCATTCCCTGTTATTTCGAAATTTGAAATTAGCAGGCACTGCGCGGTGCGACATTCGCTGAGGACAACGCATCCGTAGTCTATGATATCTCAACACAGGTTCTCAGCAGGTGACTACCAGCTGTTACTACCTTAGGTAACGTGAGATGCCGCATCCCTGGACCGATTTGCAACGGTCATTTATCCCACGATGAAGATGATGTACAGATCAGTCGGTGCCATGACGGTAAGCTCTCCATGAGACGGACTTCTGTTCCAACGCCGCTACACTGCGCACTACTAAGTTGGCAGTACATGCGACATGACACTTGGTAGAGATCCGGCGTCATTGAGTTGTCCTCGCCAGCGGTGGTCATGCAGACAGCTTCGCAACGACGTGGCCTGTCGCCCAGAGCTTATGTTTTTGTCAGCATTGAGAGAGGGGCAGCGAGAGGAGAAAGATAGGCAGAAGGACATACACAGAGAGAGAGAGAGAGAGAGAGAGAGAGAGAGAGTCACTATTCCAGCAATGTGCGAACTCGTGCTTTAGACGGGTAGGCGTATTTCTGGTGTTGATCCCGATCATCGAGGCCAAGGTTTGATTATGTCGGCGCCAGGTTGAGACGTGAGCAGATATTGCTGTAGGAAGTCCGCGCTTGCATGGCCTTGCTTGGGCCGTCCGCCTGGCCATATTTTCTATATCTTCTCTCTGAATCGAACGCGTCAAGGAAGGCTACGGCTATCAGAACCACATGTACACGACTATGATACCACGGAGCCTCCCCTTCCGCTGTCTGTACCAATAAGCAGTATTAGCCGTGGGACTCTCGCTTCTTGCGCATCGCACCCGGGAGCCTGTGTATCCCTTTCAACTGCGGTTCACCCGTCTTCGACCGCCGCTGTAGGGTACCTAGGAACATCCAATTTAAACATACTCCGAAAGAAAAGGCACCGTAAACCCTTCTACACAACAATCGGTGCTGGCATATCTACCAACCCCGCCAATAACAAGCTCAGTGACGGAAAATGTGATGTCAACAGCAGTCAGCAAAAGTCTACAGCAGCGGACGATGGCGTTGACCCTCTTGTTCTTCTCAGAAAACACACATCCAATCACATCGCAGAACGGCTATACCCGTTCGCGGTATAACTTTTCTTGTGCGGGTTAATTTTGTCATGGTACGGCGGTGCACGTATTAGGGCCCAGTCGAACTAGCACATCCGCCTACGAGAGTGAGGCCTAAAAGTTGTTACTCGTCGGGTACCGGTACATCGGAGGTACAGAAAACAGTGCATGCCCCCCGACCTCTTTACCCAGTACATGGCATGCCAAGCCAACGCCTACGTGTACCCAGTGCAACCAGAACAACATAGCGATCACTACCGCAGAGAATAAGTCTACAGCAGGTTCTGACGATGTCTAGCTTTTTTTTCTGCTCGCAGGCGGCGCACCCGGTGAAGGCGACCCTTGGGCTATCCGGAGGAAAGCTGTGCTTCGTCAGGACCGCTAGCGCTTCGCCGAAGGCGCCTGGGCCGTCGCCCCCGGGTGAGGAAGGTAGATAGGACGCTCGCTGCAGCATAGAGTGAGTGGTTTTGGCGGTATTGGCCCTTTGGTGACGGGCGATACCAACCACTCTTCATCATATGTACCGTAAAGGGGCGAGATATGGCACCCCCCCTAGACTGAATTTCAAAGCTCGATTACTCCACAACCAAGATTGTCTGTACTGTACCGTATACCGTACCGTACCGTGGTATTCCGTTAAGATACGGAGAGATGGCACCGACTTTCAAAAATCGATTGTTCCGTAGCCACGTGGGTGCAATAAGAATCCGACACGTGTAGGGAATGCCGTCGACGAAATGTTTCCAACACCACCATACCACCATATTGGTCTTGAGACAACACCAACAACAACGACAACAACTACAACAACAACTACACCAACCCCCACCGGTACCCAGACGCCAAAGTCATACAATGCATGCGTCCATCGGAATTGGGGGGGAATAGTATGCACATTTCTCCCTGGAAGGCTGGTGTAGCCGGAAAGGAGAGTTGGGTGAATCTCGTCACCTGAAGAACTAACTGTTGGCGCAGGTATCGTTTACAGCGGGCAAGGTTCAAATTCTCTGAGGTGCCTTAGCTAAGCACGCTGCATTTCGTTCTTTTCTGTGCTGCTGCAGCCACAGTCGCGCGCTGCTCCGTTCCCGCTGTTGACCCTTGTTCAACCCCGCCCAATCCCCCTCTTTCTGTCTCTCTCTCCGCCTCTCTCTGTGCGCGTCTTTCCCTGTATCTCGTTCTCTGTTTGATTCTCTCTTTCTCTCTCTATTTCTCTCTTGCTCGCCTTCTCCCTCCCTCCCCCCCTCCCTCCCCCTCTCTCTCCCTCTCTCTCTCCCCCCCCCTCTCT